ATACTAAGCCGAAATTAATGAAGCTATATATGTTTTCCATAATCCAAAGCTGCAGACAAGTAAATCTTTGAAAACTATTGCCAACGATATCTGAAAGTAAAATACGCTACCAGGCAGACAGTTTATGTGGTATTCATAAAGACTAGGCTTGTATTTCGCTATAATTTCAGGTGTTTGCCATGCAAAGACTCGTCAATCGCCATATAGTAGTTCGCATTGCAAGTATTCATAACGTTACTCTGTTTGAATTTGCTGATGAGAAATCGGTTGATTATGCGCACCCATGCTCCAAGGATTTGGGCCATTTGGCATGAAGACCAACTCATCACAATTGTACTGATCTAATATGTGCTTTGACCAATTAACCGCAAAACATTATTGTCGTTTCATTAGTTTCTTGACTCATTGTACTCTCAGTCATATTTTGCACTTCTAACTTTTTTTTCTAGGCCAGATAAGTAAATATAGCAGCTCGTGAAGCCTCCTCCGCAGGCATCGCCTTTAGATTGGCGGGCAAAATTTACTTGCAGGCAAAAAAAATTGTAAAGTATGTGAACCACGAGATGTCTGCGGAGGAGGCTACAGCAAAACATATGGGTGTCTGAATTTCAGTCACCCTTATATTCTATATATTGCGAGTTATATGGGTGTCTGAATTTCAGACACTCTTATCTAATTCTATTGCGAGTTATATGGGTGTCTCGGAAATTCAGACACTCTTATATTCTATTGCGAGTTATATGGGTGCCTGAATTTCAGACACTCTTATATTCTATTGCGAGTTATATGGCTGTCTGAAATTCAGACACCCATATAACTCGCGCGCAATATAATATAAGAGTGTCCGAAATTCGGACACCCGTATAGCTCGCAATAGAATATAAGTGTGTCTGAATTTCAGACACTTATATAACTCGCAATAGAATATAAGACTCTATTGCGAACTATGTGGGTGTCTGAATTTCAGACACTCATATAACTATATCTTGCATGATCGTTTATTCAATTTCCAGCGATAGAGGAGTCTGAAATTCAGACACCCCTATATATTACACCAGTTATTCTATTGCACATGCATTTTAGCAGACAGTTCATTTTTTTGTTTAAAAGTTTGGTATTGTGCGGTAAAATGAACACTTATCAGAATATTCGGCGAAAATTAGCTAAAAACATTAAAAATAAGCTTTTTTCTACCAATTCCTTCGATTTTGATTGATTTTGGAAGTAGACTGAACACACTCAGCACAAATTATAGAAAAATAACAAAAATGTAAGCCAGAAGAATTGCTGTCAGCGAAAATCAAGATTATATATCAATACAATTTCGACACAAGTTCGCAGGAAATCGCCTTTTTCTTTGAAATTTGGGGCAAAATTACGTTGACTTAGCAATTATACCGTATTTTGGCAGAAAAATGAGAAATTTCCGCAAAATATTGCAAATTTGAGTCAAAATTCGAAGTTTGGAATTGTTCAAAATTCTTTGGAACGCGTTTCAGGGTTAAGATCCATGCCAGCGGTATCTTGAGCAGACCACCCCCGCAGGGCCAACACCTTCACACCAATTAACAATTGGTGGAAATATAAAGAACAGGAGAGAAAAAAATCTTTGTCACTGATACGTTTTCTACGCTTCCAACGCGCAATGATTACTAATACCACAAATGCGCGGCCAAGCTCTTATTACATACTTGCTCGGCCCCCTTTTTGGTCACTTGATGTGCTGACGTAATGAGGCTTGGTTCCCTAACTGTTAACCTTTGTTATTGCATAACCTCATCAAAGTGTCAGGCACCCATGAAAAATTATTTTCAGGTTTGTTCTCGAATCTCGACACAATTTTGTCCGAATCTTTCCATAAAACGGACATCGAAAGCGAAGAGCATAAAAATGTGTGCATAGGAAAGACGCCCGTAAAGAAAGGTTCTTCTGTATTTTGCAATGAAAATGCAATCATTATTTTTTAGCATTATTATTGCTTACCAGTTCGTCAGATAAAACACATTGAAGAAAACCTGTACCATCTCTTAAAACAAGAAACATCAATATCTTTCCTTGAAAACAAACATCGGGAAATTATTTATTTATACTGTGAATGAATTAAAATTAAGCATAGTCTGTGGAAGCAAAGTAAATGCAGTACCTTGTCGTCTTATTCTGTGAACCCATGCTTGAATCATGACGCGTTCGCCACGGGCCATTGTGGCGTCTCGTATTTTGATCTGCAGAAGTAAGTTAAAGTATATATAAACCTTATTTATATTTTGTTTCTTTCAAGCACCTTTGAAGAACGGCTTACAGAATCATTTTGTCCGGAACAAGTTGTTTCATCTTGTAACAAGGTTGATGAAACCAACAGGCACGCAACAATTTGTTTCAACGAGTCTGACATCGTCTGCTCGTAACAAGTTGATGACATGCAACAAGCTTGTAGCAACTTGTTACGAACAGCATGTATTAGTGTTGTTGCAACAACATGTAGCAAGTCTGCATGTTACCGTCATCAACCTTGTAGTAAGGTGATAACAACTTGTTCCAGACTTGTCACAACAACTGGGAACATGCAGTGAGAACACATCCTGATATCTGCTTGACAACAACCTTGTTACAACTTGTTTGCAGTTTATACTCGTTACTGACCTTTCTCGGATTGGGCAACGAAGGATCTTCTTCAATAACGATCTGTTTGGCTTCTTCACGGTTCTTTGCACGTTTTTCTGCCTTCTCAGACTATACGAGAAATGCAAGAAACGTAAATTCAGTAGTTATTCAGTACTCCTCAGGGGACGAAATTTACGCTATTCCGTATATATAGCAATTGCAAAATGCCTGAGGAATAGTAAATTTCAATTTCTCAAAATAAGTTGTTTTTTTTTAAGAAGAAAATGATTTTTTGCTGTGAGTATCATGGCATGGTACTAGCCATTTTTCGAAGAAATTTCGAATTAAAGAAGAAACAAAAAAATTCAGCAAACCATACTTCCTTCTCTTCTCGCTTCTCAGATTTCCTTTGTTCTTGCTGGAATATACTTGTTAGTTTCGTCAGCTGCGCTTCCGAGATTTCCTCAAACTTCTGCAAACACAGTATAAGGTATTATATAATATAATTACAGTGAAACATGCATGCACGGACTTGAAATCTACTCCAGTCCGAATTGGAGGATTTGAAATGACATCTCATACGAATAAATCACGACTTAAAGTGAGGTGAATTAATTTTGATACAGTCCTAGGACTGGATCAGTGTATACTTCACCCGGTAGTGGAAGTCAAATCTGAACCTCTCTTTTTTAAAATCGATAACAACGAAAACATTTTAAAGTCTGGGGCCGGTTGTATAAAAAAGTGATTAAAGTTAACTATAATTAAGTGGAAACGTCATCAAATAAGAAGCGCGTACTTGAGAGGTAATCACTATTTAACTACAAAATAGTGATTAAAAAAGTGATTAAGAGTTTTATACAATCGGCCCCTGAAGTTAACAGTATATTAAACAGGAGACAAGTTACCAAAATGTTAATAAAGTTATAATAATGTTAACAGCTTAAATAACGATTAAATAAAGTTAACTTTAAATAAAGTTCACCGTTGCTTCACTGTAGTTATTCTATGAAACAATTACCAAATGGTTTTCCGTGCAGAATAACGTCATCCATGCCCTTGTGATGTCGCTCGAAACGTCAAAGTTTTCTTGGTATTTTTCAGGTGGTTGAATCCCTACCTATCTACAGTTCTCCAAGATTGATGCAGCTACAGTCAATATTAGTCTGTTTTCTTTTCAAATGCATCACGTACAGGTAATCCAGAAAAACAAACGTTTGCTGATGTTTCTCCGCAATTTTTTACACGAACTTGTTTTCACTCATTTATGACGAAGTGTTTCTAAAATGTACTTATTCTACAAAGCCACTCGCCGTATAGTTTCTTAGCTGCAGGGTCATAGTAAAGCCCGACTAAACAAACGGTAGACTGAAAAATCATGAAACATTACGATGAAATGATGCCGATTTTTCTTACTGAATTTAGTGAACTTCCGTGTTGGGCCTAGGGCATACCTAAAAGATGGCCTTCAAATTCTGCCATCTTGGTTTCAAAAAAATGCCAAAGTAATCGCTCCAGTAATAATTGAAATAAATATTTCAAAAGAAAATTACCATGACTTCCTCTTTACTGTCAACCATTATTTTGGGAAGAGGTCCTTTTCCAAAAAATTTCATCGCCTGAAAAATTAATAAATTTGTAATCTGCAAGAGAGGGACAAATGCGCACTTGGGTAAAAGATCATTCGTCGAAAAATTCGTCCGTCGAGGCATGGATAATCTGTAAAGATGAAGTTTATGCGTAGTCTATATGCATAAATACAGCATTAGAACAACTAGCAGGGGAAACCTATTTCTTGCTATACCAGCAGTTAGTGAATTAGCTAGGTAGCATGGATTATAACAGTCGGTAATTGGTTAATTGCAGAACAAAAACACTCAATGACCAGTATAAAGGAATACCTAATGGTTTTCCTTGCAGGACATGTGAGCCGCAAGCGAGTGTTTTTTCCACTTTCTGAAAGTCAAGCAACATCTCAAGTGTGTGTGGGGCTGTGTAAGATTACATAAAGTAAATTAATTAATTAACACCTGCTGGCAAGCATTTTGAACATGATTATCATAAAGACCACTCGGATTCTGAAAATAGGCCGGAAAGGTGATTTTAAATTTAAACATTATATACTTTCAGAGCAGTTTTAAACGGTTTGTTTTCTGATCCATTACCACTCTCATCGCATCCAAATTTTTCAGATGAATACAATGTATCTAGTAAAAAGATTAAAAACATAATTAAGTATTAAACCGATAGGAAAATATAACCTTTTCTATCAACGAGTACAATTGTCTGCATTTGATACAGTACAATAATAATGGGCTATTGAAAATGTTTTCTTAGTTAAAAATTAACACCCAACGTCATTAGAGCCTAGTACAGTTTAAGTTACTTAAGAAAATAAAGTCTTTGTTGACTTTTTTGACCATTTCGTCTATATGAGGTTTCCATGTTAGTTTATTACACTTCCCGAAAGGGAAAGCGTATTAAATCAACAGCTGGGAAATTTGTTGTCGCTGTGCAGAGAAATTGCTGGCGCACACGATATTTTACAAAAAAGTATACGTACATAGTATAGTTTTCTTGGTGTATTTGGTATTGCATTGGTAAGGTCCTCGCCTGTTTACAGACTTTTTTTGAATCACGACTTTTTTGTTTAATATTGTAACAGTTTTATTGAATTTTACAACGCATCATATGCAAAAAAGTACTCGAAAGTATTCGTACGTAGTATGGTTTTCTTGGTGTATTCGGTATTGCATAATTGGTAAAGTCCTCGCCTGTCTACAGACGTTTTGAATTATTTGAAATCCTTAGTTTTACAAATATAAAATTGGCAACAATGTTTATTGTTTATACTGTATTATCATTGTTGGTTCCCTCCCAGATCTAAAGCGTTGCAATAATGGTCATAATAAATATACGCAGTGGTCTTACTTTACCGTTCATTATAAAAACATCTACGTTTCACAGTCTATATAGTAAAACACACATGACATTGTGTCTATTGAGTATTGACTGGTTTTAATTTATATATCGGCATCGTGATTTTCAGAGTATAGCAAGGTTTACAAGAAAGATTGCATACCATGAGATTATAGTAGTAATAATATACATAAAGATATTACTCGACTGTGATTGGTTGATTTCAGTGCAGTTAATCCCAAACAGCAGTGCAATTTTCTGTAATCACAGTGCAATTTTTTGTAATCACAGTGCAATTTTCTGTAATCACAGTGCAAAAATCTGTAACAAACTGATCTGATTGGTGGAAAAACATTGTGATGATTAAATCAACCAATCAGTTTAAAGCAATTTAGTTTAAAGAAGTAACGGTCACAGATTGCTTCAAAACAAAACAAACATGGCGCCGCGCTACACAAAGTAAAGTTGCCTTCGCGTGGAAAATATGGCTTTTATCTTTATTTTTAAATGGAAAAGCATTTACCTTAAACAAGACTAACAAAAAATACACAGTTGAGTGGAATTTTCAAGCTGTTAGCGTTGTATAATGTGATAAAACAAAGCCAGGAAAACTTTGCCAGTGGAATGTTCGCTATAAACGCGTAAGTTAAAACTACAATTGTCTCGAACATTTTTATGTAAATTATTAATAAGTAATAGCATGGTTTCTCGTGAAATTTGCAACATGCACTCGTGAGTTTTTCAAAGACCTCAAATAGCACTCGTCCTTCGGACTCGTGCTATTTTGAGGTCTTTGAAAAACTCACTCGTGCATGTTATATCCAAATTGCACTCGAAACCATGCTATTACCTATACGAAGTGTGTCAGTCTTCAGTCGTAGCATGTGTTCCAAACTTCGAAACTATTCTAAAAACTAACATATGAATATATGTTTTTGAGGTAATTAACGCAATCAAACACTCGGTGTGCGTACATTACCAGCATGTCTTTGCATGTTTGGTGTAAACTGATTTCTGCCCACCTTTAGTATTTGTGTGCGGTTTAAAAACAACAAATTCTCTGGCAATCATCAGAGTCAGGATTTTAATTTTTATATTGGGATTGGGATGCAATCTTTCTTGTAAACCTTGTCTAGATTTATCACTTCTATATGTACGCGAGATTTATTATAATACGAATATACAAGAATTGCTGATGTATTAATGTGATCAAAACAATAAACCATATTTTTCACACTGGACCAACATTTGTTTAATTAATAAGGATGATATCGCTGACTGGTTATCCTTCTAGTCAACACTTGCGAGGTAAGTTTGGTCTTATACAGGGTGTAAATATAGTTCAAGTGTAAAGTATCGAAAATGACAGAAGCATGGTATGCCAGCGCAAAAATTATGGCATACATTATAGTCTAGCTGATCATAAATCGCATTAATTAGAACTTTGTCCGAAGAAAATCTCTTCCGCCACACAATATTCATGCCTTTTTATAGATGATATTTAGTCATGCATTTTATCTTGCCGTGGCTATCATATGTAACTAAATTTGTCCGACAGGGGCGGAATTGTAGCGACGCTGTTTACAAGGCAGTTAGGGCCTATATGCTTACGCGGGAAGAAATCGCGATAAAAACAGATGTAATAATAAATTCTATGAAATGAAACGCGTCATTATGCCAGTCAAAAGAAGCGTTATATAGTTTACGTCAGTGTAATGATATTTTCCGTTCACTCACTTTGCAACGACTTGCTATTCACCAACTCGTAACTCGCGAGTGACTTGCCATTCTCACACACGTAACTTGTGGGTGACTCTCCATCCTCGCACTCTCGACTTGAACATCGACGTGCATGGCAACAGTTTTCGCGTCAAACATCAAAACATGCATGCACGCAAAAATAATAACGCGAGTTCAAGCTCAAACTGGACAGTTTATCCGTATAGTACTTTGTTTAGTAGTGTTGATAATTACACTGACCTGAAAGGTCAAGTGTCTTAAATCCCTAGTTTTCTGTTTTCTTCTGTTTTTTTTCGTCGTCGAGAAATCGAGTTTGCGTTCGCGCATCGCAGGCTCAGGGTGCAACAATTAATCCAAAATGCCATCGATTCTTCGTCTCCACGATTCATATATAATAGTAAGAAGCTTGTATTTATGTACGTAATAGCCGGCTCATGCCATGCTTGTGGTGCATTTTTCGTTTATTAGCCCATCTATAGACTTATATGGACTTATACGCACGCGCACAATTCCGAACTCCAATGGTGACATATTCAGTTCAGTCCAGTTTCAAAATGGCGCCTTTTGGCTAAGTGATTAGAATATTTTTCACACAGTTTCGTTGAATTTTCAAAGAGTTGTGCCGGTTTCCTATGGATTTTACGTTGTGTCGCACTCTGAACTTTCTTGCGTGTTGAATTGATATGTTTTTCTTCGTGTAACGACTCGAAAACCCCAAAATTTGGATCCAGCGAATTTTACAAAGGACAAGTTAAAGGTTCGACAGTTTGACTTTTTAACTAATAAACAACTGTCTATAAATATACGTTGTAGAGTCATAAACATCTGTGGTGTAGTTGTGTTCATTTTTTGTCGCACTCTGGACTTTTCTGCGTGTTGAATTAATGTTTTTATTTTTGTATTAAACGACTCTAAAATTTGGCTTCCAAAATTTGGCCGACCCGGCGGATTTATACAATCAATATGTTGTATTAAACGACTCGAAAACCTCAAAATTTGGACCCGACGCGAATTTGTACAATATAGTGGAATGTAAGCTGGGACAAGTTAAAGGTTCGACAGTTTATTTTGATTTATTGTATGGTTCTCATTTGCCTAATACAATAACATTTAGTTCACAATACAATATAAACAAGGGCAAGTTAAAGGTTTGACCATATTAAAATACATGTATTGAAATTCGCGCAATAGCTACTAGAATTCGCGCAAGTAAAGATAAAGCGAGCGTTTCAAAATACCAAAAAGAACTAAGACATTTATTGTATGGTTCTCATTTGCCTAATAGAATAACATTTAGTTCACAATATAATATAAACAAAATATAAACAAGGAAAAGTTAAAGGTTTGACAGTTTCACTGCACAATGTCGACAATATACCTTAATACATGTATTAAAATTCGCGCAGTAGCTACTAGTTGGTGCGCCAAACGCTTTGTGGTAGCTATACTAAAGATAAAGCGTGCCTTCAAAATACCTACAAGAACTAAGACATTTATTGTATGGTTCTCATTTGCCTAATACAATAACATTTAGCTCGACGCGAATTTAAACTAGTATCATATTTCATAATATAACGAACAATGTAAACTAGTCAATTCTTTTCACCTATACAAAATGTCAACAATATACCTTAATACATGTATTAAAATTCGCGCAGTAGCTACTAGAGCTCGAGCAAGTAGTAAAGATAAAGCTTGCATTCAAAATACCAAGACATTTATTGCATGGTTCTCATGAATCTCATTTGGCTAATACAATAACATAATTAGTTCACAATATATTATAAACAAGGAATAGTCGTTCGATTTCGCTATACTGTTTGCTCGTTTTGAATGTATATTGATCAATTTCAATAATCGATTTACATATAGATAGATCAACTTTATTTAAACACATTGGCCTTTTCAGCAAAAGCTGATTTCCAAAAGGGATGTGTACTTACAAATTATTATTTATATACTGTACTAGCTCTAATATTACATGCATAACAAATACAATTATATACCTATTTGGACAAAAAATTAACTACTACTTTAAGTCGAGATTAAGGTCGAGGAAGATAGCTTTTTACAGAACGAATTATACGATACCGAATTGCGTATCTCTTCAGGTATCTGATTCCATAGTTTAGCCCCACTATGTTGGAAGCTTTTTTTTAAGGATTCCGTTTTTGGTCTTGGAATATAAAACCTTGTTGAAGAACCTCTCAGATTATGGTCATGAATGGTATTCAGATTTTGGAAAGCTTCACATAGTCGTTGGGGGGATAAACCATTAACTGTCTTGTACATGAGCCTGGCTTTCATTTGTGCCCTACGCTCTTCAAGTGTTACCCAGCCTAGAGATTTTCGTGCCAAAATAGACTGACCATGTTCATTTTTTAAGTTCATGATCAACCTAGCCGGCCGCTCTGTTTGGAATTTCTGTAGACGTTCGCTTAGGCCTTTATTAAGTGTATCCCATACTTCACAGCAATAATCAAAATAAGGTTGGATTAAGGCATTATAAACTTTTATCAAAATGTCTTGTTCGACATACTCCCTCATT